GGGTGCCAAGCAGCGCTGACCTGCTTGTCGGGGGTTGATTCTCAGAGCCACAGGGGCCAGGGTAGCCGCCAGCTGTCTCCTTTCTGTTTCCACCAGAATAAACACTGTCCAAGCTGCTCCTCATCCCGTGGGGCTCGTCCTGTGGTCTCCCCACAGGCAGCACGGGCGCTGGCCCATCAGGACGCGACAGGAGGCGGCCAGGAGCTGGGGACAGACATCCACGAGGCAGTCACGAGGAGGCACAGTGTGGCTTCAGGGACCCCTTCCTCACCCGCTGGTCACCCCACATACACACACAGACACACAGAGACACACACACACTGCATTCCCCCATCTCGTGAGAGCGCTCAGGAACCAGGGGCTGCCCCTCAAGGCCTTGCCGACCTCAATAGCACTCAGTAACCTCAGAGTGTCCAGCCGGTGCACTGCCCATCTCCTGACACTCCCAACTGGCCTGCCACCTCCCATGGCCTGTGCCCAAGCCAGTCCCCGTCCCTGAGGACCCTTCTCAGGAGCCGGCCTCACTCAACTCCAGGCTTCAGATGAACCTCACGCCCCCGCAGGCCTCGACATCCTGTGGCTCAGGGGTGTGGCCCTGCCGGCAGGCCTGGGGAAAGCCGGCAGCACTGGACGCAGGGCCCATCCTCTGTGGTGGCAGGTGATGGAGCAAGGTGGGGACAGGGAGGAGGGAGCAGGCGTCCTCATGGGCATACATCTGCAGCTGGACTGGACAGCCTGTCCTGTAGACCGGGCTGTGGAGGGAGGAACTGCCCGTGTCTGCCCCCTCCTCTACTCTGTCACTCCTGGTCAAGTCCCCTTGACCATCAGCTGCCCTGGGCCCTAAGTTGGGTCCCTCCTGGGTCACTCAGTGGGGTCGGACCTGCTCCTTACCCAGGAGAGGGCTGAGGCCTCGGGGCTCCCTGGAGCAGATGCTAAAAGCCTGAGGTGGGGGCAGGCAAGTCCGGAGTGGCATGTGCCCAGCTCTCAACAGCACACCACTGGGACACCGAGTACCGGTCCCCTCCAGCAGCTGACTCTCAGCATACACACTCCCTGATTCCAGGAAACCAGTCCTGCAGCTGCCCGCTCCCAGGCACTGGGGCAACACCTGCCGTGGGATGCTGGCTGTGCGCGTTTCTGGGACGGTCCTCAGCCCCCTGGGGTCGCTGCAGCCTCCTACAGCCTGTAGGGAGGGCGAGGCTGTCAGGCCAGACCCCGGCCTGCCCGAGTTCCTCACCCCATCGCAGCAGCCCCTCGGCCAGCACGTTGGCTGCATGAGAGGCCGTACACTCGAGGAGGCTGAGGCCTGAGGCTGAGGTGGCTGCGGCACATCATTGGCGTTTACTGATGACCATGGAGTCCCAGGACACGGTCCGGCAAGCCCTCTTGTTTCCTCCTGCCCCTTCCTGTAGGAGGGTCCTGGCCTCCCAAGGGGACCAGTGTCCATCACCCAGCAATTCAGGAACTCTCTCCTTTGCTGCCCACCACCAAAAGGTCAAAGGGCCCACTACTCTTGGTGGGAGTCTTACTCTGTCCCCGGGGGACATTTCTGTCTTTGGAAATCCCAGCAGGACCTGAGGGTGCAGTCATGATAAGTTTGTTGGGGGAGAGACAGGGAGGGTGGGCGGGCCGTGCCTGCACTCGCCCCTCGGTCCCCAGGCCCGGGGTTCGCCAGGCTTTACGTCACCCACTGATAGCGCATCAGGTGCAGCGTCCAATCCTGAGACACGCGCCCCAGCTGCTGCAGTTCCTGGCCTCCAGCAGGCGCCCGGCTGGCTCCCTGGGCCGGCTGCCTGGGGGACCCAGCTCCCGGCCACGGGGTCTTGCTAGCTTCTTCCTGAGGAGGTGCCGGGCTGAGCGTGGACTGTGGGCTCCCCAGGAGGACTCCCTTTGGGGCTTCCTCAGGGCCTCCTTGCAGTGGACAGTGAATTGTCAGTCCTGTGGTCCCGTCCATTCCCAGCTGGCCCCCTGGGCCTGGGCTGTCTGGGGCCTGCACACAGACCAGTTCTGGAGGACAGTGGCAGTGAGATGGGTGTGTGGGGATCGGCTCTTGCACCTGCTCTGCTCCTGGGTCTGCTCTTGGGCTGCGGCTCGGGCTAGTGCCCTCTGGCAGTGGGTTGCTCACTGCCCACCTCGCCACAGCTCCCCGGGTATGAGGTCACTCACAACAGGCAGCTTAATTCACAGAGGACAGTGTCTGCTAGAGATGGCAGGTTGGCGTCTCCCCCAGGTTTGTATGGCAAAGCCCTGACCCCACATGGCATCATTTGGAGTGGGACCTCTGGGAGGTAACTGGTGACGAGGGGGGGTCCTTGAAAGGACACTGGCACCTTGATGAGGGGAGACACCGGACAGTGTGCTTCCTCTGCTCCATGGCAGGGCAGTGAGAAGCCAGGCCCCTGCCAGCCAGAACACGTCATGCTGGGACCCTCACCTTGGACCAGTGGCCTCCAGAGCTCTGAGAGGTGAGTTGCGGGTTCCTGTGTGATGTTTCAGCAGCCTGAGCCGGGACACTGTTCGGTGGCCAGGAGTCCAAGTGCTGCTGTTCCAACAGGTAATAACTCCTGCTGCAGAACTCAGTCATGCTCATAGCTCTAGTGGTCAGGGCTTGATAGGGCCCCCCCGGCAGCCAGAGTTTTCTCTCTCCACCGAATCTGCCACAGATGGCCCAGTGCTGTCTGCTCTGCCCTGTCCCGAGGCCCTAGGGGAGGCACCTGCCCCACAGAACTCTGCAGATACCTCAAGAGGCTCCCCAGTGGGCTGGGGCAGTACCCGACGTGCAGTTGTGCTCCATCCGAAATCCAAAGAGGCCTGTAGTCATGTACCCATGGTGGGACAAGCCCTGTGACACAACCTAGCCTTATGAGTGCATCCAGAAGGCCTTGGGGACCAGGGCTCCACGGGGAAGGGCCTGCATCCCACCTCTATCCCGTGTGCACCTTCCTAGGCGACCTGGTTGGCAGGTCTCCGGGCAGCAGGACGCCATCGACACAGTGGCCAGTGGGCCTCTGAAGGCTGCCACCGTGGGCAGCGTCGCTGTGGACTATACTAGGGAGCAGGCTTCACAGCTGAGGCGAGACAACACGGAGTTTGGGGTGTAAAGGCAGACTCCCCTCACCTGCAGGTGGTGCTGAGGCACAGCCACACGCCCTGCCCCCCCCCAGACACTGGGCTTGAGGCTGTGGCTGTGACAGGGTCCTACCCACACCTCCCACAGTGCCTGGGCTTGCTGTGTCAGCCCCATGAATTGCACAGGGATGCGTGGGGACAAGGGCTGGCCATCCTGTCTTCCACGGGGGCTCTGATCTCTGCCAGCTGTCCAGGAGGGCAGGGTGGATGTGCCACTGTGGGAGGGGCAGTGCTCAGGGACTTCCCCCCAACTGGCTCTCCGACACGGCTACACAGGCCAGGGGGCAGAATGAGGTTTCTGCTAGCTGCCGAGTCCCACTGATACATTAGGAGAAGGACCTGGGGACTCTGATGCACCCTCCCCAGCTCAGGGTGCGGCTCTGCTCACCTGCTCCGCCAGCCCGAGCTGTAGCCTGCCACGCTGCGGTCTCCTCCCCACTGCAGCCTGCCCAGCTCCGAGGACTAGGGACTGCAGCCACACACACCGGCTCTCCCATAGGGTCCTCGCTCAAGCGGAACTCATGTCGCCTTCAGGTAAAGAGCTCCAGGTGGTGATAGTCAGGGGCGGGGCCTGGGAGGGGCTGGAGCTGGCCGTGTTCCAGGGTGGCTACAACAAAGTGCCACAGTGTGGGCGGCTCAGGAACAGAGATTCATTTCCTCAGCTCTGGAGGCTGAAAGTCCAAGGTCAAGGGGCAGCAGGGTGGGTCCAGGGAAGGCCTCTTCTTCCTAGGGGCAGCTGACTGCCAGCAGAGTCCCCCTAGAAAAAGGGTGAGGGAGTTCTCTGAGGCTCCTTCCTAGCTCATGCGGGGATCGCCCTTCTGGCTCTGCCCTCAACCTAATTGTGCCCACAGGCCTCACCTCTGGTGTTGTACTGGGGAATAGGATTTCAACCTCTGAATTATCAGGGGGGCACGGACACTCAGTGGTACTTCTGCTGGCCAATTCTTGCTTCTTCAAATGGAGAAGTTATTTGGTTGCCCATCTGATTCAACTCCAGGAAAATGAAGACCAGACTTCTCCACTGAATGCGTGGTGGTCTTCCTGCCATCTCTGGTGCCCACTGTGTGCAAGCCACCTGGGCTCAACTCTGTGGAGCTGAGAACCACCATGGAGTATCATCAAGGTCTTCTGAGCCCCCTCAGGAGCACGGTCACTAGATGAGTTCTGTCCTACTTGGCAAGTTCAGTCTAACACTCCCAATTGCCCTCTCCTTTAGTAAGATGTGGAAGGGCTCTGGCTCTTAGTCGCACACTCAGGCCACCCTGCTATGCAGGACCCAGAAGCCGTCCCAGGAAACCACACAGCCACACGCGTCCTTAAGAACCTTGCCATCACCCTCTCCCTCCTGGTCCGTCTCAGGGAGTCCCCTGCCATCCCTCCTGGTCTGCCTCAGAACCCAGTGCCATCCACCCTCTCCCCTGGTTCCTAGGGGCTGCAGAGAGGTGAGCTGCTGCGCAGCCTCATTCTGGGCCCAGACCGCACCACGGGGTCCTCCCTGGCCTTGCAACCCATTCACATGGTGGACACCCGCACCAGGAGAGTGGTGAGGGCCTGAGTCTCTTGCAGGGTCCCCTGCGGTCCAGGGCAGTTTCTCCCACACTCAGTAAGTGTCTGGGGTTTACACAAAGTCTCCCGGCTGGCCAGTGGTGATGTCCGTGCTAAAGGACTGGCCAGACCACACCTCCCTTCCTGGGTGTAGTTACCCTTGTGTGTTTATGCGGGGGATCACCCTTCTGGCTCTGCCCTTACAACCTAATTGTGACATCATGCACCATCAGAGTAGTGAGGGCTGAGTCTCTTGCAGGGGGAGAAAGGCAACTTGTAATGCTGAATTTCTTTTTTAATAAGAAGACTTTATTTATGAAAGCAGATAGCAGCTAACAGTTTAAGAAAGCTTGGAAGTGTATATGCAACTCAGAAAATATTTGGCTAAGTCATAAAATTAGCATTTTTAGTCATCTGTAAAGTGCCAAGAAATGTTCCTGGGGAATGCCTGCAATAGGCTTTTTTCTTACTGTTTTGACCCAACTTCACCAGGTACTAGCACATGGTACAGAAACACAGGAGGAACAAACAGAGCTCAGTAGTGGCCGTGCACCCAACAGGCAGCGCGGGCTTGCAGCTGCAGAGGCAGACCCAGGGCAGAGTGGGGCTCTCCTCTGGGCTGCTCCCAGGCCAGCAGCAGTGTCCTGCAGGGACATTTCCATGGCAGAGTGGGGGCATTCCTCCTGGTGCTTCCAGGCCAGCAGCACACCTGTGCTGATGAACACCGTGAGTCCTCAGGATGAGATTGCAGACGTGCACAGCACTCCAGGTCTATGGGGCAAGAAATGTCTGGGACCAGAAACTCAGAGCTCTCTCCTGTACTCAGTACAGTACTGAAACCCACACATGTCTGATGAGGATGTCCAGAAGTATTTGATATGACAAGGGAAGAATGATTTGGTATTGATGCCTGAGTCTAAACGTTGACAGGTAATGAACATTTTGGTTCAAAGCAGATTATTTGTCAAACACCATAGATAATACATTGGCTTTAACTGTTAATTTTTAATAGAAAATGCAATATAAAAAATAATGCTTTGTTAAAATATATGGTACAAGCATCAGACCCCTTAGGAAAGCCCAGGTCCCTTCCAAAGGTAAACCATTCTGACTGGTCTAGTGTGTGTTACCTGGCTTTTAAAAACTGTTGTAAATTCTACCCTGGAACTTGCAAATATAGAATATATAAATAAGGGTAGGGAATCTGAGCCAAGCAGAGTTAGGGCCGAGAGCTATTATTAGTAAGTCCCACATTACTGAACAGCTACATGTCCCCAGGAATTCACTACAGGAGAAGGTGCAGGGGCACGTAGGACACAGACGGCCAGCCCGGGAGGACCAGGCTCTGTCCCCTGCACATGGAGGGCAGGCGGGAGCCGCTGGTGCACTGCACGTTCTTTTCCAACACACTTCAGTCGGCTCTGCCGGTATGAAGGTGGCCTCAGCCACAGGGGCCTGCAGCTGCTGAGAGGTGGCCCCAAGGCCACTCCCTTCCAGGAGGCTCTGTCCACCTATGCGCTCAGCAGTGGGATCTGCCAGACCATCACAGAGGACACGACCTCCTCCGGGGGCTGCTGCCGGGCTTTCCGGCACACCCGCCGGTGGCCCTGGCCCCCACACACCACCAGCACCGAGCTGGCCTTGGCCTTCCTGGGCCGACATGCCCTGCTTCTCGGGGGGGCAGTGGGGTCCTTCAAGAGGTCACAGGTGCTGCTGTCCTCAGACCTGTGCTCTAGTGAGCTGGAGCCCTGGGACAAGCTCAGAGACCCAGAGGAAGAGGACAGGTCACTCTTGTGGCTCACTGGTCCCAAGGAGTCTGCCAACCAGATGGCTGTGTCCAGGTCACCTTGGCTTGGACTGGCACCAGTGCCCTCAGTGGGGAGCACGTCCCTCTGGTCTTCATCCTGGGGCTCGAGGCCAGGAGGTGGGCTGTCCCTGGCTTTGTCCTGGTCCTTCCTGTGTAAGGCTGTGGCCGTGATGATGAACTTGACAGGACCGTTGTGAGCATGGTAGGAGACCATGCCTCTTCCTGAAAAGGGAGCAGGTCAACGGCTGTCCGTCAGTCAGAGAGCAGACAGCAGGGGGGACCGGGCCCCGCCCACCCCGGGCCTCTCTCCACCCAGCCGCAGCCTCCCAGCGCTGACCTGGGCGAGGGCTGCAAGGAGGACCCGTGCAGGTCCACCCAAGAGAACGCAGGACCAGACTTTTACCTAAACAGTCTGTTTCCCATTTTCCCTATTAAATACCTTCTCATTTGTTCTAACTTAACTAAATCCTGACTTTTTTTTAAGGTCTTTGGATTTATTTTCCATATCCTTCAAATTTACATCAAAGGCAAACACCAGCCCTGAATGTTGACTTTTTAAGTTCAAGCCTAAACTGTGTCAGTTTTAGAAACTAAGTGACTATATTCTCAGCAGCTTCTGTCAATGTTGTTTGTTTTTTTAATAATCTAACCTTTTTTTTTTTATTTATTTGGGTTTGAGTGGTGCTGAGGATGGACCCAGGCCCACCCTGCCAGGCAGGCGCTCTACACTGAGCCACACCAGCCCCACTCTGTCCTGTTTCATTGCAGAAAGTTTCTGGGTCTTAGGAAAAATCAATTAAAATCAGGACTTCTCAGTTTCCAGGAGCGAGGTTCAGATTTTAAAGCATCACTGCTATCAGGGACCCCTGGGGCCTCCTGAGCACTGACCCCCCACCAGGCGGGCCGGGCTGCAGACTGGGCCTTCCTCACCAAGCGCGTTCAGGCGGACAGGCCCCAGCTTCACCGGGTTCCTACTCTGGCCAAAGCGGGCGGAGTGGTAAAACCCGCCACCACCACCACCGCGAGACGCCGGCACTCGGCAAGCGGAGTGGCAGAGTGAAGTCTGCCGTGGCCGGCGGGGGCTGGTCTGCAGCGGGCAGCAGGGCTCACCCACGGGGAGGGCCCAGAGCCACCGCTGTGGTGCCACCACTGTGGCAAAGTGGTGCCTGGGGGAGCAGGACAGGAGGGCAGAGGCCCCCTGCTAGACCAGGCCTGGGCGGGGGCCGTGGCCAAGGGCCTCAGGAGGGAAAGGCAGGGAAGCCACCGCTGAGCGTCCTGCAGATCCTCACCCGTTAACCAGCCCCCAGGCTGACCGCAGGACGCATGGACGTGAGGACGCTCACCGTTTCCCAGCCTCCCCTGCCAGCTCAGCCACTTTCTGAGCACTGTCCTGCCCTGCCCTGTGTCCTGCTACTGAGAACGAGATGCTGGGCGAGGGTCTCTGCCCACGCCTTGCTCCTGGCTGGGCGCTTCCCAAGACGGCCTCCTGGACTGGAAGCTGGTTCTGGACTCGGGTGTTTTAGGTCCCAAGAGCCACAGTGCCGAGCTGCTTCCCTGGAGGGCCGCACTGAAGGGAGGCCAGCCGAGGAGCAGAGAAGCCCAGCGAGCTCCTCCAGGGCCACCGCGCCCAACCGACAGAGCTTCCAGGGGGAGGTTCTCACGGGGCCCGCGACACAGGCAGCCAGACCTACCAGGCGCCGCCAGCTGCCACAGCAGAGCTCACACCTGTGCGCCCCCACCCAGGTGAGAAGGCCCACGGGAGGCTCCTGGACCTGAGCTGGAACAAGGGCACCTGTTTCACTACACCCAGGAAGTAAAGCCAGACCAACGGGCACTGCAACCCGGAGTCTCTCCTGGGAGGGGCAGAGGGGTGGAGGCGTCCACTCACCGGTCACCTTGGGGATCCCCTGCAGCCGAGGGACCGGCAGGGCCACAACCACACCCAGGCTGGTGCCGACCATCAGCAAGCCGTGGCAGACGAGGAGGCTGGTCACAGAGAGCCGCTGGTGCCCTGGGCAACAGAGAGGGAAGTGGCTTTTGTGTCCTGCAGTTGGCTCACGCAGCGATGCCGGAGTAGGGCAGCGGGGAGCTGTGTGCTGCCTGGAAACACCCTGGACCGGGGGCCAGTCTCCCAAGCCGACACCAAGCCTGGTGGCAGGATGAGCCACAGCAGAGCTCACACCTGTGTGTGCCCCCACCCAGGTGAGAAGGCACACGGGGAGGCTCCTGGACCTGCTGCAGCTGGAACAAGGGCACTGAGGCACCGGCACCTCCCCACTGCACCTGGCCGGCTCCTCCGGAGGGAGCCAAGCCCCTGGGCGTCCGCTGAAACCATCTGCTTCAAGGAAGTGCAGCCACACGTGTCCATGACACACACGTGAAGAGCCGTCGGCTAACCACAAGGGCACACTCTGGCACACCACAGACAAGACGCTGCCTGAGAGAACCCAGAGTTTCCGTCCAGAGAACCTCACAGACATGGTGTCAGGACAGAGGCAGGCCGGGGAGTCACAGAGGCCCCTGAAGCCCCTTGTTCTGCGCAGCCAGGGCTCTGACCAGGCCAGACAGGGCAGTGGAGGGAGGGCCTCCCACGCACCTCTCCTCTCAAGGGCAATGCCAGAGCTGCCCCAACCCTGCCCGCTCTGCCCCCACTGGGAGGGAGGCAGGTCCCACGCCCCCAGGCCAAGCCAGCGTCCAGAGGAGGGACCCGTCTTCTGTAGACCTGAGCTGTTTCCAGTGGCTCTGCCCTGACCCGTCCCAGCTCCAGGACCGAGGCAGACCGGCAGAAGTCACTCCATGAAATGTTTAGGCAACAGGAAAAATAAAGAAACAGACTCAAAACCAACGCACTTGGTTTTATCTGAAACAGACTCATGTTTGTTAAAAAGCTAGAGCACTCACGATCCCAGGAGGCCTGGAGTTGTGGCTGGGGGCTGGGGGCCGGGGACACAGCGCAGCTGTGGCTGACCTGGACTCGCCCTACGTGAGCAAGGTGGTTTTCTTCTCAAAGCTCCCGAGAAGATTCCTCAGAAGACTTGGAATGAACCACCACTGGACCCAGTTATCCACTCCGTGGTATACAGACAAAGGATTTAATACCAGCACCCTACAGGGACCCAGCCACATCAACGTTTATAGCAGCTCAACTCGGAATAGCTAAGCTGTGGAACCAACCTAGGTGTCCTTCAACAGATGAGTGGATAAAGAAAATGTGGCATCTATACAAAATGGAATATCATTAAGCCATAAAGAAGAATGAAATCATGGCATTTGCCAGCAAATGGATATAACTGGAGACTGTCATGCTAAGTGAAATAAGCCAATTCCAAAAAAAAACCAAAGGCTGAATGTTCTCTGATTATGGATGCTAACCCAAAATAAGGGGGGAGAGGGGATAGAAGTTCATTGGATTAGACAAAGGGGAACGAAGGAAGGGAGGGGGTGGGAGCAGGAAAGACAGCAGAATGAACCAGACGTAACCCTCTCCTTCACATATGAAACATGACCAGGAAACTCCACACCACGTGCACCACAGAATGGGATCCTACTTGGGAGTACGTCTTATGCCACGTACGTGCAATATGTCAAAATGCACGGCAGCGTCAAGTGCATCTGAAAGGAGGAAAACAGACTCCAACAAAACACAATGAAGCTCCTGAGACAGGCGCTGAGGCGGCTGGGGTGGACGCTCGGCAGAGGCCACACCCCTGCTGCCCCACCGTCCTCAAGCCAGGCTCCGCGGGAGCGTGGAGGAACAGGAAGGTCTTCCTGGAGGCTCAGCCTGAGCCGTGGTGAGTGTTCTAAGCATTCAGTGCCATCATCTGAGGAGACAGGGACAGAGGGGCACAGGAGTCCAGTGAGACTCGGAGGCCACTCCCTCCAACCCCGGGACAGTGAGGAGGAAGAGTCCGGGCTGGTGGCAGAGGTGGCACTTGGGACTGATTCGCTGCCCTGTACTTCTGTTTGGGTTTCACAAACAGCGTTCTCCACAACCTGAGTGCAGGACGGAGAAGCTGCTCTCCACGGAGCCCCCAAGTTCACTGACCCGTCTCACCACCCGAGGGAACGGCTGCCCCAGGGGGGTGAGGCTGCACTCCCCGCGGCCTTCTGAGGCCGTGCCTCCTCAGCCAGGACGAGGAGGAGGGTGTGCTCAGGAAGGGTTTACTCCATTCCCGCGGTGCCCCACCTGCCTGTCCCAGGGGCCTGGACTTTGAGAGGGCCCAGACCCAATTAAAAACTATGCAAATGAATATAATAACTGTTTTACGGTCGTTTTAATCTGACATTCAAAAATATTTTGGTTTGGGAAACAACCTTTTAATTTTTCTACAGAGGAATGTCTGAATTGAATTTTCCTCCACAGTGAATTATAAATTTGAAGTGTTGGCTTAGGGCTTTTTTTTAATATTTATTTTTTTTAGTTGTAGATGGACACAATTCCTTTACTTTACTTATTTTTTTTGTGGTGCTGGGTGAGCGCTCTGCCCTGAGCCCCAGCCCCTGGCTTAGGGCTCTGGAGAAACATCTGACACATCTTTACAAACAACTTCAGAGACAACTAATGGGCTTTCAAAAGTCCCCTCTGAGAGTAACTAAGAACAGAGTAGGGACGAAGAGCAGGAGAAGAAGATTAACATTAAACAGGGATGAGAGGTGGGAGGGAAAGGGAGAGAGAAGGGAAATTGCATGGAAATGGAAGGAGACCCTCAGGGTTATACAAAAGTACATACAAGAGGAAGTGAGGGGAAGGGGAAAAATAATACAAGGGGGAGAAATGAATGACAGTAGAGGGGGTAGAGAGAGAAGAGGGGAGGGGAGGTGAGGGGAGGGGGGATAGTAGAGGATAGGAAAGGCAGCAGAACACAAC